TTTTCCCCTTTACGGGTTTTTCACGTAAAAACTTCTGGTGTCATCACAGCTTGATTCATTTTCATCTGAGTGTGTGTTGAATCCTCGTTAAATGCTAAGACGATAATTCATTACTCTACCGCCGCGAATTTTCTAGCACACATCAGTTTGGTGTCATATGTGGGAAAGTTTCATCCCACAACTAAAGTACTTACGCGGTCTACTACATAGCCACCAGACACAATGTTCTTGACAATGGAGTATCCCGCTCCAACACCCATTGTTCCAGGGAGCAGTCACGAAGCCAAGGGCGGCATGCTTCTTCATCTTCCCACCCTGGAAGACATTATCCTGCAAATGAAGGTGTTTTGGGTCCTTCAATAGAAGATCAAATGCGTAGAATGGAGGAGTCTCAACTAGAGATCCTACAGCTCCTACGTGGGGCTCAACAGTCATTACCTACACCATTGGATGAAATTCGTTTACCATTAACTGGGAGACGTACGAGAAACATATCACTCGAAGGAACTCGTACCGGCCTGCCTCCTCAAGAAGGAACACATCCCTTGTCAGGCCGTGATGTTGAAACAACAAGTTCCATTCATTCATCTCGTGCATCTCACCCGACATCTCCACATCTTCCTGCCATTCCAGATAATGTCATTCATTATGAACTACGACGCCTCATCCTGGAAGAGTTCACCTTAGAGAAAAAGGATCGTTTTTAAGCTCACCATAACATCCATGAATCTTCTTCCTTAGCGGATGCGGTCCTCCAACACCCATCCCAACATGTTTTAAGCTTCCGAGCATCGATACATATGAAGGGGCAACCGACCCTTGCGAGCATATTGATCATTATTGAACTATCATGCACATTCAGCGTGCCTCTGATGTGCTTCTGTGTCAAGTATTTCTGACTAATCTTAAAGGACAAGCTCGAACTTGGTTCTACTCTCTACCGGGGGACACTATAAACACCTTTAATGAGCTTGCCAAATTGTTCTCGGAACGGTTCAACGCAAATCGAAGGATCATCAAGGATTCATCCCATCTCTCGGGAATTCATCAAAGTGAAGGAGAGTCACTCAAAGACTACTTCGACAGGTTTTCTACTAAAGTCCGTCAAATTTCAGGAGTAGATCCAGAGTTACTTAGGGGGGTTTTCTTTGGGGGGCTTCACCAAGGACCCTTTTACTCATCACTGATGAAGGAGACAGTTTGTTCTTATGCCGACATTGTCCACCGTGTTGAGGCCTAAATCACTGCAGACGAGGCCATCGGTGCACATAAGGAACAATTTGAAAATTTCTGGGGAGAACGAAAAGCTAACCCTGGAGATAATAATCAATCTTTGCAACGAAGAAAGTCTGAACAACAGAGGAATCACAACATTCTTCCTCAACCTGCAGGCCAACGAACTGAATATCGACCCAAGGAAGAGTATACACCACTCAACACATCACGTACTAACGTGTTAATGACTATCGAAGATGAGCAAGTCGTTAAGTGGCCTCACACCCTAAAACCTAACTCAAGGAATCAAGAACAATATTGTCATTTTCATCAAAGTCATGGCCACTCCACTGAAGCGTGTAAGCAGCTCAAAGAAGAGATTGAAAGGTTAATTAAATAAGGATATCTTGATCGATTTGTACAAAACAAACCAGCTGACATCGATAATGCTCCTATTGTGGGGCAACATACGCCAAGGCAGCAACATGGGGGTCACCCAGTTGTAGGTGAAATTCAAACAATAGATGAAGGCCCATTACTGATTGATCAAGTCCTTGTCACTATACCTGGTGAACCAATGCAGAATAAATTGCGCCTCGAGTCCTTGTCACTGTACCTGGTGAACCAATGCAGAATAAATTGCGCCTCGAGCCTATAACTTTTGATTATTCCTATTTGGAAGGAGTTCGAGTCCCCCACCGAGATCCTCTCATCATTAGCGCAGGAATTGGCGAGCCCTGCTATAACTTAAAGAGGATCCTGATCAACAATGGGAGCTCTATCGATATTTTATTCTATTCAACTTTTCTCAGTTTGGGATTGACAAGGGAAGGACAAGGGAAAGCCTTCACCCTGCATCCAGACCATTATATGGTTTTGATAATCGACCAGTGGGTAGGGCTGTAAACAAGCCGAGCTTGAGCGAGCTCAGGCTTGGCTCGTGTTCGGCTCGTTCGAAATCAACTCGTGTTCAAAATCTGCTCGTAAATAGTGTGTTCGTGTTTGACTTGATTTAATCATTTATGTTCGTGTTCGGCTCGTGTTAGAGTTTCGCTCAAAATTGGCTCGTTAAACTTAAATTGAGAAAAATAAATGTAAAGTGTGAGATTCGAACCTGAATCAAATATATACAAAAGAAGGCACTAACTACATTGTTACATGTTCATGTTCGACTCGTTTATAATTCAAGCTTTAAAAATTTGTTTGTGTTTTGCTCGTTTACTTAACGAACGAGCCGAACACGAGCTACTTAATGAGCCGAACACAAGCTGTTCGCGAACAACGAGCTTTTTTGACAGCCTGACCAGTGAGGGTCGAGGGAACAAAAAATCTCCCTGTTGTCTTGGGAGGGGAGATTTTCCTCGACAGATAACCCACTCAGTCCAATTCATCGTTGTCAAATCAGAATCGGCAATTAATGCTATCTTCTGGAGACCACTGCAATCAATCTTTGACATCGTGACTTCTGTAACACACTTAAAGATCAAGTTTCTAACCCCAGCAGGGATTAGCGTCGTGCGAGGTGATCAATAGACAACACAATCATGCTACCTCAAACAAGCTCGGCCACGCCTGTCAATGACACTTAGCATTAAGAACTTCGATCTTCGAGATGAAGATGTATCTCAACGGGCTTCTCTTGTGGAAGACTTGATCCAAATCTCACTCTCTGACGAACATCCCTTGAGAACAGTGCAGTTTGGTTCCCTACTCTCTGATGAGAAAATGTCGGAGTATGTAGATCTTCTCCAAAGGAACCAAGACATTTTTGCATTGACTCCAGCTGACATATCTGGAGTTGACCTATAAATAATCATGCACTCTTTAAAATTAGACCCGACCTTTAAACTGGTCATCCAGAAGAACCGCAATTTTGCTCCAGATCGCTTACAAGCTATTGAACAAGAAGTCAACAAGTTTCTTGAAGTAAAATTCATACGAGAAGTACATCATCCTGCATGGTTAGCCAATATCGTCACGGCGAAAAAAACTAATGGTTCATGGAGAATGTGTGTCGACTATACAGACCTTGACAAAGTTTGCCCGAAGGATAGTTTTCCCCTCCCGTTCATAGATCAACTCGTTGATGCCACGTTTGGACATCAGATGCTAAGCTTTATGGATGCATACTCGGGATACAATCAAATAAAGATGAACCCAATGGACGAGGAGGCCGCCTCTTTTCAAACAGATAAGAGTTTATACTGTTATCAGGTTATGTCATTCGAGTTTAAAAACGCTGGTGCAACTTATCAACGACTCATGAACAAGGTCTTCAAAGAGCCTCTCGGGCGTACAATGGAGGTTTATGTTGATGACATGTTAGTAAAAAGTTTGGAAGCATCCCAACACATTTCTCATCCAGAGGAGTGTTTCCAACTCCTTCATCAGTATGACTTTCGACTTAACCCGACTAAATGTACTTTCGGACTAACATCAGGAAAGTTTCTGAGATTCATGGTTACCCAACGTGAAATTGAGGCATCTGGAAGAGTGTTTCCAACTCCTTCGTTAGTATGACTTTCGACTTAACCCGACTAAATGTGCTTTCGGACTAACATCAGGAAAGTTTCTGGGATTCATGGTTACCCAACGTGAAATTGAGGCAAACCCAGAAAAAATCAAGGCACTGAGAGATATGGTGCCCCCAAGGAACATCAAGGAGGTACAACGCTTGAATGGTCGTATAGCCGCTCTATCTCGTTTCTTAGCTCATTCTGGGGATAAGTATCTGTCATTCTTCAAGATACTTAGAGGTGCTTAAAATACTGGTTTTCAATAGACAAATGACTATCAAATTGCTTTTGAGCAACTCGAGGCATATTTAGCTTCACCGCCCCTCCTCTCAAAGCCCTTCCAAGGAGAGATTTTATATATCTATTTGGCTATTTCACCTCATGCAATAAGCTCTGTGCTTGTCAGAATGTAAAACTCAGGAGAGAAACCAGTATACTACGTTAGCAAGATTCTCTCTGATACAGAAAGTCGCTATTTGATGGCGGACGAGACTGTGCTAGGCTTAGTATTCTCAACAAGGAGACGTTGTCTGTATTTCCAAGCTCACACTATTGGCGTTTACATGCAACTCCCTTTAAAGGGCAACTCCCTTTAAAGGCTGCCCTTTAAAGGCTGTCCTACAAAAACCAGAAGCATCGGGAAGATTAGTTAAATGGTCAGTAAAATTGGGAGAATTTGACATCCTCTATTTACCACAAACAAACATCAAATCATAGGTGTTAGCCGACCTGGTGGTAGAATGTACAGTGCCTACCTCTGATGAACCACCCTCTTCTCTTCCACGATCATCTCAGTGGACACTATACGTACACGGAGCATCTGGAAACTCAGGAGCTGGTGCAGGAATAAAACATATCTCCCCAAAGAAAGACATTTTGGAGTACGGACTTCGTTTGAAATTCACATCCACCAATAATGTTGTTGAATATGAAGCACTTGTTGCCGGATTAAAGCTTGTCATCAACTGTGAAGTACGAAATATGATTATCTACATTGATTCTCAACTCGCTGCATCCCAAGTAGAAGAAAAGACATTTTGGAGTACGGACTTCGTTTGAAATTCACATCCACCAATAATGTTGTTGAATATGAAGCACTTGTTGCCGGATTAAAGCTTGTCATCAACTGTGAAGTACGAAATATGATTATCTACATTGATTCTCAACTCGCTGCATCCCAAGTAGAAGAATAATTTGACGCTTATAACTCACAATTGGTGTAGTATCTTAGTCTGGTAAAAACACTTCTCGCCCAAATTGAAACATGCCAGCTCATTCATATACTTCGGGAGCATAACACCTGAGCTGATGCCCTCTCCAAGCTTGCAACTTCAACAACTGGAGATATCTATAAAAGAAGGTATATTGAGAAGATACATTTCCCTAGCATCCATAACCCATAGGAGATACTGTCTATAGATGACCTAAGGGAGCCATCTTGTATGGATCCCATCATCTCCTTCCTCCAAGACGGAACACTGTCAGATGATACTACTACATCCATTCACATCTGACGCATGATTGCCATGTCAACTTCATCCTTATAGGGGATGAACTATACAAGAAGGCATTTGTAGGTTCATATCTCAAGTGTCTTCCTCCATCTGAAGCTAATGATGCTCTACGAGAAGTTCATTTCGGAATATGTGGGGAGCATCTTGGTGGTAGGGCACTTGCTCTTAAAATAATGAGGCAAGGCATCTACTGGCCCACGATAAAGCAAGATGCATTAGAATTTGTGCAAAAATATAAGAATTGTCAACTACACTCCAACTTACACATGCACCGCCAGTGGAACTCACATCTTTTGTAAGTCCTTGGCCTTTCACCCAATGGAGGGTAGATATCATGAGGTCATTTCTGATAGCTACTGGACAACGAAAATTCATCATCTTAGTTGTCGCCTACTTCACCAAATGGGTAGAAGCAGAGCCTCTTGCCAAAATCACTGAGACAAATGCCAAACAGTTTGTCTGGAAAAACATCATCCGTCGTTTTGGGCTTTCTGCGAAGATTATCACTGATAATGAATCACTGATAATGAGACTTATCACTGATAATGAGACTCAATTCACTGGAAGGGTGTTCACATCATTTTGCAATGATCTTCACATTCAATTAGTGCACAATGTCATGGCGCATCCCCTAACAAATGGGCAGACATATGTGACAAATCAGACGGTGCTCAAGGGGTTGAAGACTGGTCTTGAGAAGGCTGGGGGGCAGTGGGTAGAAGAGTTACACAATGTCCTTTGGGCCTATAGCACAACCGTGTGTACTCCAACTAGGGAAACTCCATATAACTTGTGTTTCGGCACTGATATTGGAGTTCCAAACCAACGAGTTAAGACTTTTAACTCATATAGCAACGAGGAAAAGCTCCGACAACATTTGGATCTCCTCCCAGAAACACGCAATGTGGCCCATCTTAGAGCTGCTTCCTATTGTCAAAGAGTTGCTCGCCACTTCAACCGGAGAGTCAAGCCTCGACCTATCTCCGTCGGTGACC